GAGAGTTCGCGGCTGGATTGCCGGGATTGTGGGTTTGCTCTGTGTGTGTGTGTGTGTGTGCGCGCGCGTTTCTACGCATTATTTAGGTTTCATACACGGTTTTATATACGAAGAATTTGGAATAATACATCAACGTATCGATCGTATCGCGCGGCGAACGAAGCGTCGTCCTCTCGTGATGTACAGCGACCTCGCGCTCTGTCGGATTCTCTCCCGGGGGAGGAACTGAGAAGGGGTGTGTTACGGCTTCCGACTTCTCCAACTCGCGTATCGCGTGATCGTTCTGAGAAACGAACGGTCGGTCGAGCTGAAAAAAAAATTTCGACTGCTCTCTCGACGCGAGCGCGTATCGCGAGCGCGCGCTGTTATCTCGTCGGGGCAACTTCGGGGCGACCTGCCCCGCCTCCTGAAAAGAAAGAAGTTTGTTCGGCAAAATTTTCGGGGACCGCGCTACATCGCGAGCGGAAAGTCCTCTTTCAATAGCTTGAACCCGTAACGTCTAATTCACTCGAGAGAACGGATTTGCAGTTCCGTGCACGTTCGAGTTTGTTGGTCGAAACAAGTTATGCCGGCTGCGATACAGAGGTAGAATCGCCGCTGATATCTTCCCAAGTATTTGCGGAGGGATTTTTGATTTCCGGCAAACGTGCGAAACGTGCGATGCGGTGCGAGCAGATCGGAACGGTGTGTGCGTGTGTGTGTGTGCGCGCGCGCCTCTTCTTGTACGTGCGAGCGTGTGTGTATGTGCGAGTGGGTAATAATGAACGCGCGAGATTGCCTCGAGTATCAATCATGAGGCCACCCCACCAATCTCGAATCGTCGTAAAGGAGCTTCGCGATGCTCGAGAAGCTGATCGATATCATGCGACCGTGCAGATAAAATCTTTAATTACCCATCGCTCGCGCATCGATCCGTAGCGGAGCTCCGTTCGAAGGCGGTGCACCGCGTGACGTGTTCGCACAGTTCCGCGATCGTCTCTTTTATTTCGCGAAATTCTCATTTCCTCGGGAATAATTTCATTCCCGCGCGACGTTCGCGCTGCGCGCGCAAGATTCCTGTTTCTGCGGTGTACCCATGGATAAAAATTAATTGCCATAAATCTCGGCTAATTCTCGGTTAATTCTCGGTGAAATGAACTGAAATCGCGACGGTAATTTGTACAGGAATAACACGGCCGCGAGGAAGAGGAAAAGGGGGGAGAGAGAGAGAGAGAGAGAGAGAGAGAGAGAGAGAGAGAGAGAGAGAGAATGAGGAGGGAGAGAAATGGGAAAGGTGGCGAATCACGGGCGTATTAATATCAATCATCGGATACTTTTAGATGAGTGTTTGAGCAAAATGATGGAACGAAGCGGAGAGTTAAATGCAGCACTGACGTCACCTTGTGGATACCGTATGTGGATCAAGTTCCGGTTACGGGAACCTGCGACGAAGCGATCCTCTATAACCAAGATCGCAAAAGGCAATAATTGCCGGATATAAGCGTTTATATCTAGCCGCGGTCTACGTTGGCGGTAGCGGGCAACGTATTACTTTAATATCGGTGTCACACGTGTAAGTAATCTACAATCAGATATTTTGGACCGGGCTATACAAGCGTCGAAATGCTATTCGACACGAGAACAATATAACCATATTAATTAAAATTGTCATAATAACGGGAACAAAATAAATTATAATTTACGAATTTCGGTCGATGCTGATTTTCAGATAATTAATAATGTCATATTATTATAGTCATAAATAAGTAAATAAATGAATTAGCATCGCAATTGTCGATATTATGTAACAATTCTAAAATATTATTAATTTAATAACACGGAAGAGAGAGAGAGAGAGAGAGAGAGGGAGAGAGAGAGGGGGGGGGACGGAGAAAGAGAAGGAGAGAAAGTAATTTCACCTGCATTTGGATTTTCATGCGGAATTTTAAGAACGTTTTTCCTTTTCGCTTGCCGCAGAATGTACCGTGAAATGTCATTAACAATAGAAAATTTGTATATTTTTTAAGGATTTCTCTTTTGATGTGCAGAAACGAAAACGCGAAATATCTCGTTTACGGACCAGCAAGACGGAAGCTAAATATTTCGTTTCCGCGTCGAGTCGAAACGAACAATAGCTTTTTCCTCTCAAGTCTCTGAGCCCAGTAATGCGCCTCAAGAGTTTGGTTGCAACCGCTCGCACTGTTTGCTCTGGGGAACACGAGTTTTATATGTTCGTTATAGTATAGCACGATTAATACAGAGGGAGAAAGAGAAAGGGATTAATTTTCCAACCTGAAAGATTGACGTTACACATCTCCCGTCCATCGCGTTTCTCTACTCGTTACTGCGTATGAGCTTGCATAGAGCGTCTCACTCTCGTCTAAAAAGACAAGGTAACCGGAAATTGCCGGGATGAAAGGTCCAGATTCAGCCGGTAGAAAAGCAGGGCGCTCCGCCAGCGCTAATACTTGTATCGTTAGTTTTCGTATTCGTTCTCTGCCCTTTATTTGCCCATCAACGTGTCAAGCCAGCCAGCGTGTCAAGCCGTTACAAACAAGTTGAGAGGATACAAATGGAGGAGGATGTTGCAATAGAGGAGGAACGTTTCCTTAGGCCATTACGCTCAAGTGTCTGTCGGATATCACGCGAGCTTAAATCATCCCCGGTTTGTAATACTAATTGAGCGGCGCGCAACTATGCCGAAATGGAGAAGCCGGAGAAGCGAAATAGTCGCTCTAAATATAGCGGTCGATCCGGTTCGCTTCTCGCGATTAATATATCCGAAAGCCGCGGCAAAGACACGCCGACGTGTCCCGAATAGAAGCATTACGTCTTTAGACGGCCTCGCTTATACACGCTGCTCTCTATCGCTCTATCAAAGTTTCAGCCGGGCGAGCGTGTATGACCCTTGCGTGATAAATTAAGAGGCGCTAATTACGGCATACATGCGCGCGTACGACACACTTTCACACACACACACACACACGCCGCGCCTCGGGTGCAGTAGATACGTCCGAAATCTATAACGGGAAGTTACCGATACGTCAGCTCGCGATTCAAGGTCGCATAATGCGCCAACTTTAGATGAGGAAGCTCCGTGCAGCTTTTCGCGAATAGCGACTAAACCCAACTGCCGTCAGATCCTCAACAAGGATTCGACGTCGAAGTCTCGTCGGCGATGAATCTCAATCGAACGCGCGATCGCGTGTTCCGGATTCAGCCTGCGATCAGCTGACCGTGACGTGCGTCGGCCTCGGCGTCATGGAACGTGTCATAATTGCGCTCTCACACCGGGGGAGGGAGGGATGATGATCGATCCTTTATCCAGCGTTTGCGGACTCGTTAGTTTACATAGCGCCTACCGCACGCTCTGCCAGAGCCAGCGGGGCCGAGCAAGATCAATGAGCGGATCAAGCCTGGCACATTGATCGAGCATCGCCGTTACCACGCGCGAGGATCTAAAAGCTACACGAGGCGACGTTGAAAAAGCGGCCGGAAGGACTAAGATTAAAACAGCCCGGGCAAATAATGCAAAAAGAGGCCCCGCGGCTCGTAGATACGCGTAGGACGCGCCGAGTAAAGCGAAGAGAACGGGAGGAAAACGGGTGAAGGGGGGGGGAGGGAGGGAGAGAGAGAGAGAGAGAGAGAGAGAGAGAGAGAGAGCTGACGTTTACTTTCGGCAGTTAAGAGAATGCAGATGGTGGCCGAGTTACACCGTCCGCTCGGTAATGCGGTGCATTGATTCAAGCGGCGCGTCATTCTCCATCGCTCCGTGCGAATCGACGCACTCGAGTGTACAATCGGATGCATTAGCGCTCGCGTTCGGCGGTCAAGTTTCCCGGTAATGTCCGAACACAGCGTGTCCTCCTCCGCTTACCTAGCGAATGACACCGCGCGCCACGGATCCTCGTCCCGTCGCTTCGCTTCACACGAGGGGTCAGCCGGCGAACGCGGACGCGTCGGACGGTATTAGCCACTTGGGGTGAAAAGCCGGGATATATCGAGCGAAGAAGGAGCGAGACTCGAGCGGAAAGGAGGAAATCGTCGCGGGGAAGGTCGCCCGGCGGGATGATGACCGCCGTAATATCTCTTATCGGGAGGATAACAATGTTCCGTGTTGGTGGACGGAAGCGAGATATTCCCCTCCGATTCACGCGCGCGTTGACCTGTCCGGCGCCAACGCCGGCGCCCCGAGCGCGACCCTTCCTCCCCGGTCAGAATGAAAACATCAATTTCTCGTCGGTAATTTTTATCGGTTCCTATCCCCTGACGTGCGCATTGCCGAGCGGAGAAGCTACCGCCGCAGCGAGAGGAGAACCCGTGCGTTTCGTCACTTACTTCGGGCGTTCGCGAGAATCTCTCGTTTCTGTGCCTGTGCGCGTTCATTTCTTTCCTTCATACCTTCTCATCTACACGTTTCCACCGATTTCACCGAGTCGCGTTTGCGATAATTTTACTTCGACGCTCGCATGGACTCAGTAGTTTCCGTCAGTTTCCAATTCCCATTCGCCCCTTTCATCCTCCTCCATTCTGGCGAATAAGCCACAGTTACCAACAAATAACCGCTAGAACCAACTGGGAGAACGACCCGACCGCGAGGGCTTGATGCTGCCGACCGTACGCACACTCTCGGGCGGACGTAATCTTCCTTACCTCACGACCGAGCGCTCGACTACTGATTGACCGAAATCGCGCAGGTACGAGTCGGAGATGGGCTAAGGGAGGAAGCCGGAGAGCCCGAGCCGCGTGCAAGTAGGTAAAGCACTCACTCACTGCAAGCAGTGAGGATGGACCCGCGCGAAGAGGGCCGCGCGACAGAGACGAGGCTCGTCGAGGTGGGTTCGCGGGGGATCGCGTCTCGCGCGCCACGCGGGATCAGGATGCAGTGATCGGTGGAGGTGGTGTTGTGAGGTCAGGCGAGAGGTCCGCAGGAGTGGACGATGCATCACGGTGGCGGCGGTGGCGGCGGCGGCGGCGGCGGCGGCGGTGGAGGCGGCGGCGGCGGAGGCGGGAGTGGAGGAGGAGGAGTAGGAGGTGGCGGCGGCAGCGGAGGCGGCTACGGGAGCGGACCGCAGGAGCGCGTGCACCAGGCCCCGCGGCCGAGCCAGCCCGATAAGTGTCCCTATGAGACCTACCAGGCGCAGATCCCGGACTGCTGCGCGGCCGCGGTGGCGGCGCAGGACCCGTACCCTCGGCCGCCCAGCGGCTACGACGGCAGGTGTTACGACGAGTGCCATCGCAGGACGCCCTACCACGAGGAGCCCTACACTCAGGTACGTGCGCCAACGCGACCGTTCCGCTCGAGCGCGCGAGTTATCATCACGCTGCGCTACGCCGTGCGTAGAGTTTGCGACAGTTTGCAACGGTTGAGATCCTTCGGCCACTGAGAGGATTCCATTCGGGTCAACAAGCGCCGCGCGAGGAGTCGGCGAACCGGAGAGTCTCTCCTTACGGAGCAGGGAGAATTACTCGCCTCCTTGTGCGGCTCTTACTGGGCTGAATTGGTTCTTTCGAGTTGCGGGGGGAGGGGGGGGGGAGTTTTATTCGAGATTGAAAGAGCAATTTTATAGACACGTATATTGGTAATGTTTTTAGTAGATATTGATTGTGAAATATTGTCCCCCTGCTGTGGAAAGATGCCAAATATTGAGTTGACAGATGTGGCGCGTTTTATCGTAGTAATAAGACATACGAGTCGACTCTCGCTTCTCGATCGGTCTTCGGAAGCTAAATTCTCCGGTTCGCGATGTGTCGTCGGTCGCGTCGCGAAAATCGACGATTCCGACGATGATTGCGATCGGTGCGATACGGTAATGATACGGTAATTGTAAAGCGCTACGGTACTTTCCGGTGACCAGCGGCTTGCGCGTGCAAACAAAGTGGCGTCGTAAAAATTAATCGAACGAAATTTCATTTTAATCGCGCGATCACACGGCTTTGTGAAATCACATTACACAATCAGATCCGCAGCTTGCGGTTTGTGTATTTTCTACTGAAATATTTTTCATTGCAGAGGAAAAAAAGGAAGGAAAAAAGCGGGGGAAAAAAACGCACTCGAACCAGAGTTCGGTTTTACGTTCATTCAATGGAAATAAACATTGCATAATTCATCTTAATGCGATTAATCGCGGCTACTCGCAGCGAGCTTTGGCATTAATAGCGCGCCGCCGCACCCCGTGTGCCGATTAAATTTGATATCACTTCCAGGTGCGAAAATTACACGATAATTATCCAATAGAATCGAACGAGTTCGCCGTTTTATAACGAACGCGCCGCTCGGCAGAGAAATAGAGAGGAGAGAACGAGAAGGCGCTATTTATGATTATCGGCCGGCGAAAATCGAATTCGCCGTTCCTTCGCGGGAAATAGGGGCTTAGTTAGCGCGGAAAGGGCGGACTTTAAGATCGCAATGATTCAGCAGCGGAATTCTCGGACGGCCGCGCTATCGGTAATACGAATCGCGAAAACCACTCGCGCATGAAAATTCGCCGCCTCCGCCCCGTCCACCCCCAGCGGTCTGTACTTTCCGAGGCTTCATGCCTCAAAACCCTCGCCGCCTCGCGCGCGCCGCCTCGCGCGCGCTCGTACATAACTAAGAGAGTTATCGACATTTTCACCGGGGAGAATACACACCTCTGCCATTGATTCGAGAACGCGCCTGTAAATTTCCCGCCAATAATCCCCGAACACCCTCTGCGCCGGCCCTATCGCAAGCGCGTAAGACAAACGACCGCAATCGAAACTTCCCCGGTCGCAACGTGAAATGGAAGAAAAACGAAAACGAGAGAGAGAGAGAGAGAGAGAGGAGAGGGGGAGGGAGGGGGAAGGAGGAAACGCGATTCTCGAGATACAACGTGAAATCGAACTTCAATGCGGCGTCGCCGCTAAAAGCGTCGCGTCGCTAATCGCGCGGCGCGAGCTTATTTTTTTCCGCCAACTCGGCGCGTTTATTGATACGACGGCGGAGGCGGAGGCAGCGGCGACGGTGATCTCACGAGCAACGGTCCACGAGAGACGATATGAGCCGCGGATATCCATCCGTCGCGTCAGCTTGCGCGTCAGCTAGACGAGTTTGCAATAGCCGCGCGCGCGCGTCAGTTTCGCGTCGCGAATTTCGTGTGCGAGCGCGTGCGTGCGAGCAAATTTCCTCGACGAGGAGTTCGCCGCAACTTGGCCGCGCGCGAATCTTCCAAGAACCATTAGCGCCGAGAGGGCAGAGGAAGGGGCGGTTTTCGGCGGTTATCCGAAAATTAATTCGAGACCGATGCGTCGCGATGTGCGCGCTCCGGCACGCCGAATTCAGCCGCATGTGTGTGTGTTGTCCGCGAGCTATCGATTCGGACGAGGCCGAGTGTATAGCCGGCGCGCGAGCCCCGCGACATCCCTCGCAGGATCTCGCAGGACCGCGCGATAAACGCTCGGCGGGCGGTTAATCGCCGCGCGAAATAAAAATGCGGATGAAGGGTAATTTACTCGGTGCTGCTTTCATTCGCTCTGAGCAAGCTTCGTCGTAATTCGCCAGCGAATCCGCTGCTGAAAACTTCTAGACGCACGTTCTTTATTCGCTAGAATCTAAAATTTAGAAGACGCGACGTCCAGTGGTCGCTACGACAAAGTTAGACATGTTCAACTTTGGCCACTTAGACGCCGCGTCTTCTACTTCGAGACGCTAACGAATAAAATTCGAGAGTCTAGAAGAAATGTTTACCAGTGTATTTTAAGTTTTAGATATTAAGGAATAAAAATCTACCGCCTAGAAACTTTTACCAGCAAATTCGCCGGCGAATTAAGAAGCTTGCTCAGAGCGAATAAAAGCAGCAAGAACGCGTCACTTTTTCTATCGTCGGTCCTTCATTCAGTCGCGCCGACTAAACATCGGCCGCGCGCGCACCGAGATGTCGAGGAGGGGTTTAATCGTCGCGAAAAGAGCACAGAGAAACGGATTCTCCACTCCGAATAATAATGATAGCGCCCCGGCGCGCCCAGGTGGTATCGATACGTATCGGGCGGAAGTATCGAGTATGCGGAAAATGTCGATACTCGCGGTATTTGATATCAAAGAGTAAAAGTATCGATATCCTATTAAATTTCAGCATTGTTGCGGGTCGTATCGCCCGCGGATGCAATTTCACGGACGCATCACGCATGTACAAAGCGATCACGTGCCGATCGTTCGTCTAGCCCTCAATGCCTCCTCGGCGGCGTTAGCCGCAGATGCCTCGGCGAACGCGTTCGCGCACTGTCCACTTAACCCCGTCGCGTCACATGCGCTCTCCGCTTCTTCTTTCTCTCCCCTGTCCGCTCGACAAATATTTTTTACATCGCAGTGACACTCGCGACACGGCGGCGGAGGAGATTCGACAAGTTGGTGGCAAAGTGGCGTGCAAGCCGAGCACTCTCCCTTTTTTCCGTGCCGTTTCGATCGCAGATCGCGCAGATCCTCGACCGCCCGCAGCGGTGGACAAATTCCAACGCGTACGTTATCTCGTTTGCATCAAACGCACGTTATCTCGCGAGGCTCGCCGGCGAGAGCGACAAATCTGCAGCGCGGCCGGCCGACTGTCGATCGCGCGTCGCGCCCTGTTCCTGGCGCGGCTTTTTGCGCCCTTCGCGCTCGTGAAGGCGCAGAGAGCGGAGCTGCCAAAAGTCCGCTTTTACTCTAGGCTCTATCGTTCGGAATCGAACAGCCAACGACGGCGACGACGGCGACGATGTCGTGCTGCGCGTGCGCGGCTTTTCGGGCGTCCTCCCAGACAGTTAAGCGATATCGATACTTTACTGTTACACAGCCGCCGTATCGTATCGGCTACGGCGACGTAAAGATAGCGGACGGCGATAGAGAGGGCCGCGGGTCCATATCGAGCGACGATGCGGTACACACCGCGGAATATGGCGCGACTCGTAAGCCATCTCGGGTTAGCGGCGCGGCGCGCGCAATCGCGGCGGCTGCGAGGGTACATTCCCGGGGGCGGAAAATGAACGCGGCAGATAAACGCGTCCGGGGTAAAATCACTTTTTTCGCGCTCGATCCTCCGCATGGCTATCCCGGAGGTCACGTTAAATACACGTATGCATGTACGAGCGTGACTCGCGCTCGCTGCGCGGCGGCGTCGACGAGGAGAGGTGGCGATACTGGCGATACTGGCGATTCGCGACCCGGAAAAGGCGCTCGTTTCGCACGGTCGATTTATTCGCCACAAACGAACACGCTTACGAGGGGAACGCGCTTTGACGGCGATCGGATCCTCTGATTTTCCGCGCCGAGCCGCGGCATTGTTGCTGAAATTGCTGCCGCGTATGCTACATTTCCTAACGACTGGGAGCGTTTCGTTTTCGAGCGAAGCGGTGCGTTCCCGAGCGCGCGGTACCGACGGTCCGATGAGGGAACTTCGGGGAATTAATCAGGAGTGCAAGTTCTCCCGTCGGACCGTCGGCTGCGTTCCAAAGTGAGAAATCCAAGAAAAAGCGGTTCAAGCGCTTTCGCGGAGGCCGCTGTATGAGCGTGCAATCTGTGCTATTTTTCACCACTAGATTTTCCAACGGTAGAATCTACCTCGCGACTCCCCAGAGCTTCCGTGTTGCGTAAACCGGGGAATTGCAGCAGCAGCAGCAGCAGCAGCAGCGGCGGCGGCGGCAGCAGCTGAATCGAAACGAGCAATTTCGAATTATACCGGAAAGATCTCTCGCCCACAGACGCAACTGGCGCGCGTCTATAGATTCCTCTCGCATAATTGCGACCGCGCCGACGCATTTTCCGTGTCGCTTTGCGAGTCCCAGACGATTCTTTCCGAACGCCTGTCGTCCTGCGAAATATCAAAACTCCCGATATCTCGCGAGATTCCCGCTCGACGTGCCCGGTCGGCGGCAAGATTTTGTTTGACCGGTCGGATCAATCGGCGCCGCCCGCGCCGCCGCAATACAGCCCGCTTCTAAAATAGAGCTTCAATTCGCGCACGCTATTTATCATTCAATCCCAGTTGGCTCTTTCTATCGGGGCCAATGTTTCGCCCTCCCCCCACAAGTAACGTTACTTGTTGTAAGTTAATTATTTTTCACGCTTATTGTTGTTATTATTGTGTACCGCGGCCAATTACAGTCCGGACTGCGCACAACAATACGCATATTCCACTTGTTTTAATTGACGAATAACCGAGCAGCGCAATCGACAAACGCGCAGCTGTGCTTCGATCATGCTGCCATTGTTCGCCGATGTAACCGACAAATCACACTCGATCGTGTATTTGTCTCACGTGCATCCCAAAAAGTAATGTAGTCGCATCGCCACACACACACACACACACACACACACACACACACACACACACACACACACACGTGCACACTCCTACACGAATGCGCGCAATAAAATTTCGCACGCCTTAAGGACAAACCGGAGTGGAAAAGTACGAGTACGCGAGTCGAGAATGCAGACGAGATTCTCCTCTTTCAGGATGTATCCTCGACCTTCCACCGGCCCCAATCTAGACTGGGCTACGAGGAGCGTCCTCAGTCCCGAGTGGGATACGCGTCGGATTCCAGGTGCGCCAGTGGCCTCGGCTACGACGACACCGGCGGGGGTTACCTGGAGCAGAGCGACCCGAGGATGTATTGCACCGGCGGCTATTGCATGGGGGACACGATGATGGCGACGAGCAGAGGCGTGTGCGGCGAGGAGGTCGAGATGGACATGCGGAGGCACATTCAGGCCTGCGCCTGCACATGCAACCACATGGGCTATGGGAATTACATGGACTATCAGGTGAGTCGGAGCCTCGGCGGAACACGAGCCAGCCGGGAAGGAAACGCGAACCGGTCGGCGAGCACGAGCGAAAATATGTCCGCTGGCCCGCTCTCGTCGTGAGGCAACCCCGCGCAAGCCCCGCAAACGCTCGCGCGTATTGCCGGCCAGTGACAAAGGGATGCTGCTGCTGGTGTTGCGCGCGCGTGTCCCCGGGTATCCCGTATACACGCGGAAACGGTACCTCCTTCGATCCCTCAGCCAGGATCCTGGAGTGTGGAAATCGACGGATGATTGCCCCGCTGGAACATTTCCATCGGGGCGCAATGGCCGGGCTTTCTTGCGAATCGTACGTAATATCGCGCGCGCGCGCGTTTATAATCACGATGCGATATTACGTCCTGTCGAGGACGTCTCACGAGAGGATCTTGCCCGTCCGCAAACGTTTCGTGATGAGAGGGAGAGCTATCTGTGTGAGCCTTCATAAGTATAGAGGAAAAATGGCACACCAGACACATGAGGCACAATGATGAGATCCTGGATTTTCCTGTCGCGAATCGCGCACAATATCGTAAACGGGGCCGGCGTTGCTCGTCATTGAGCTCTCTCCATGCGCCCATGTATGTGTGTGTGTGTGTGTTACGTGCGCGCGCGTATTCCATCGCGAATTTCGAAAGCTTACGTGTTCTCAAAGGCTCTTAAGAATGCAAAGGTACAGATATCACGATGCACGGACCAATCGTCGATCGTACGCGCGTGTTCTCGAGAAAAAAAAGAAAAATCAAAGAGGCCTCTTCGGTATCTCTTTCATATTTCTTCTTTCACGCGTCTCAACACGCGCAATTGTATTTTAACACTTAAAAATATATATATAATCATGCCCGCTAAATTATTTCTCTCCGTGCACGCGACGTCACAGTGGTGGACCCGGCTACCTGCCGTTACGATCAATTAATCTGCTAAAGCCTTGATAAAACTTGCAAGAGGCGCCGACGTCCAAGATGCAAATTAATCCCGCAAATTAATCCCTTGTAAGCGTGGGCTGTCGATAACCACGTAGGGGTATCAAAGGGCGCGTCGTGTTTTGTCCGGATATCGTTATATTCTTTAAAGCGTAGCCTAACGTATCATATCGGCCATAATATATAAATAGCCTCGCCGATGCACTCTTCTCTCTATCTCTCCCTCTTTCTTCGTTGGAATTGCGACTGGAAGCGATCGGCGATCGTCACACGATCAAATCTCTCCCGCCGCTCGATCCCCGACTCGCTTCGTCAGGATAAATACATAATGCCCACGAACACCGCGCGGCTCGTCGAATTATTACGATTCGCGCGCGAGGGCGGTCGAGTGCTCCTGGCCGTCTATTCCCTCCGAACTCGCCCCGCCGAGTTTCGTTCTCGTCTCGTCTCCTCCTCTGCGCGCTCGGACTCGCTATCAGAGGTAATTCATCGCAGCCTGAAAAATTCACAGGCAGCCTCCTGCTCCGAGACCTCGTCCCGCTGTCCGACTCTCCCGCCGGCGTTTCATCTTTTACGTGCGACGACCGAACTGTCCGTGAAATCCTTGCCAGCGCCTTGACTCGCGCGCGCGCGCGCACGAACAAGTCGCGAAATAAACAGCGTCGCAAACGCGAAGAAAAACAGGAGGGAAAAAGCGACACGCTCTCTCTCGCACAGCCTCGTATCTCGACTTTCTCCAACAAGAGGCAGCCCCCGACGACGTTACGCTTAAGCCCTTACGATTATTGCGATAATATACGGACTCGTGCGGGACGTCCGTGAAGAATTGTTTCTCCGTGGAGGAACGTGCGCCACATACGACGCCTCGCCGGCGGAATTTCTGCGTCTCCCCCGTGAGGATCCTGACTCGCGCTCGTGACGAATCTCTGACAACCCGAGACATCGCGGATTCCGCACTCGTCCGCGAGACCGCGTTGCACGTTTCATTAAAAGTATCAAATGCTCTCGACAGAACAAGAAACCGGATCGCGTTCTGGGATCTGGATAATTACGCCGCATACTCGCCTCGCACGCTGTCCGCGCTGTCCGAACGTCAATTTCGTCGTCGAATCATCCCGAGCGATATTTCCAACGATTAAAGGCCAGGAGCGTCGGCCAGCTCTCACCCGGCGGGGGAATCACGGCGAACGTCCACCTACATGTCTATTTATCTATCTGTCATTGTCACACCGAGGCAGAGCGCGTCCCAAAAAGTCGCGAGCTCGTCTGGGGATACGCGCTCGCGAACTTCGACAGCGCAGCCTCGTTCGGCCGGAATGTCCCGCGCGAAAAAAGGAATGCGAAAAGAGGAAAACGTAAGCGGGAGAGAAAGAGCGGGAGAGAGAGAGAGAGAGAGAGAGAGAGAGAGAGAGAGAGAGAGAGGAGAAAAATTCATTTTGAAATGGGCGCTGCCTCTAACGGGGCCGCGCCGTCAAACTTCAGAGCTCGCGTTCTGATTCGGGCGAGCCGCGATCCTGGCCGGTTGCCAAGGGATCGCGGAAGGACCGGAAGAGAGACGAGCGCGCGAATAAAAAAGCCGTACGCGCGTATCTATCATCGCGACGATTCCTGTCAGCCGCGGCGATGTGTGCGAGCGCGCGAACGTGTTTCTCGGGCGCGAGAGCGTTTCGCTCGCCGGGCCGGCGAGCGCGAAACTACCGCGAGACTCCTCAAACATCATTTCGGCCAGGCGACTGGCGAAGCCATTCCTCGGCGAGAAAAAGCGAGCGCGCGCAGCGTTCGCGACGGAGTCGTTACACCACTGCAGTGCGACGGGTAAACTTCGCCGAGTGTGCACCAAATGTACATACAGGCTTCCCCGGCGCGCACCGTCGCCGCGACGTGCGCGGCGGAAACGTGGCTATATCGAGCGAGGAGAGAGAGAGAGAGAGAGAGAGAGAGGCGGGGCGGGGGTGTGGTATCGAGGGGAGAGAAGCGTGGCAACTCGCGAATCTAGTATATCGCGGCTCTTTATCGCGCGTAAAAAGGGAAAAGCAAGTCGCGCGGAAGTCGAGTCGAGGTGCGTCGGGTGAAAATACTTCCGTTTAGGGCTTCGAGAGAGAGAGAGAGAGAGAGAGAGAGAGAGAGAGAGAGAGAGAGAGAGAGAGAGAGAGAGAGAGAGAGAGAGAGCGCGCGCACGGGAGTTCCACAACGAGCGGCTTTTCCTCTCGCTCTTCCTTTCTTCCTCGAAAGTCGCGTCGATTCCGAGGGAGATTCGCGAGTCATTCGCGGCTATTCCCCGCGCGAGTAAACGTTTTTCTCCTTCCTACTTTCGTTCCCTTCGTGAAACGATCGCGCGAGAGCCGAGCTCGCAGGAAGGACGAAGGAAAGAAGCGTAATTGGCGCAAAAAGTGCAAACGACACTTACGTCCGCGCTGCATCATCGATGAGAGACGAGCGTCTATAACTGCATGCGCTTCTACTCCTGTTTCGTCGCGAATGCGGTAACACGTGGGATATACGCCCGAGTAGTGGATCTCGACGTTCCGAGTGTGTTTGGGAATTAGGTAAAGGGATTCCGTGGATTATATTCGGGAACTTCGAGCTCCTGGAGGATTTCGGGGCGGACCGAGGATCCTCCTCGAGTTTCTCGGGACCACAAGTCAGGATAATAACGTCAAGGGAGAGCCACCGTCGAGAGATGGATCCGGGACGACCCCATTAAAAAATTACGATAGGGATAGCTCGAGCTGTCCTCTATTTCTCCCCCCTCTCTCTCTCTCTCTCTCTCTCTCTCTCTCTCTCTCCCTCTGTCTCTCTCTCTTCTCCCTGCTGAGTCGCCGCGTTACGATTTTACGATATGTATAACGTAACCGCATCTCTCTCGCCTACTCTCCTTGTCACCCCCGCTCTCTGCCTCATCCCTGCCGATATAATTACATGCAACGCAATTATGCGGCAGTCCATTGTGACGACTTGGGAATGCATTAATTATTGCCGACCGCCGAACAAATACTGTCTAACCGCTCGATATTAACTATCATCAGTCAGAGCGCCGCAATCGGCGATCGGCGATCGAAATGAGTTATTAAATCGCTGCGTCGTTATCGTTAATTATCAATCGCCCCGTGGAGACGCCGAGCGATTAATGCAGTAAAGCATCTTCCACGTTGCTTGAATAATTCGTTGCGTTCTGCGGCGCAACAAACGGCCAAGACTGGGAGAAACCCCGGGTGCACAATAACGTGTAATATTCGATTTGCTTTCAAACTCGCATCAATCTGATTCCTCGTATAATTATTTCAGAGTTTCACGCGCGTTTAAGAGAGTTAGCGTATACCTGATAAATAAAATGTCGCCGATCGTGTGAAACGTGACCGGTGGATTCACTCGTGCTTCGCAAACTTTCAGCGATAATCTCAACAACGACGTTACCCATTCCAATTAACGATCGACTGTGTGACCGGCAATCAGCTGTGTACGCTCGCTCGGAGGAAACGAGCTGTGTCGTGTTTCTCCGAAAAGGCAGGGAAATAAAGGATAGTTGAGCACGCCCGAGCACGAAGAAGGGATAAATATATTTACGGAAAATTGTGTCACCTCGCGAAAGAGGAATTCGATAAAGCGAGGGAGTTCAGCAAGTTTATGGATCCTGGCCGAACTTATCCGTCTTCATTAGCGAAATAATTAGTCTCGGAAAGTTAGGAACGTCAGCGATTTCGATGTAGGACATACCGAAACTCCGGGATAATGAATGCAAATTACAACTCCGAAGTGCTCTGCCAAGGACACGCCGTCGTAAGTATGGCGTTCCCATCGGTATGCGACAGTGACAGTGAGAGAGAGTGGAGGGAGGGGGGGAGAGAGAGAGAGAGAGAGAGAGAGAGAGAGAGAGAGAGAGAGAGAGAGAGAGAGAGAGAGAGAATCAGTTCTATCTTCGACGGGAAAATCCAACTGAACCAACGACACGTATATACCATCACAATTGTGTCGATTCGATAACATAATAACGAGCGCGATATTGCGCGAAATAACGCGCGGCGAAATAGTTCCCAGCGTTAACGCTACTCCATCTAATGACACGGACGGCGCTATATTTCGGAAATAACCGAAACTGGGATAATCGCGGGACACGGCAGTTCAGCGACGAGTCCGCGCCGCTCTGTTTCGCCGCAAAAATTTCGCGATAGGGAATTCCGATTTCCGTCCAATTTCCGCGCCAAAATCGTCGCCATCCTCCTCTCCTCGACCGTCACTCCCGAAAGGCGCTTATACCTCTCCCCGACAAATGTAGAGAAACGTTACAAATCAAAATTGACGAGACAAAGGGAAGCTCCGCGTCGTCGTAAAAAACACACACGCGCGCGAGGATCTTCCTCGGACAGGAAAGCCACGATGAACCTAGAACGTCCCCTTCGCACGCGCTTGTTGAACTATTGCGTAACCGCCGTCTATAATGTCACCGCATTCACCCAGCTGCGTGTGTCTCTCCGGGGGTTGTAGAAAGAGGAAAAAAGCCGTCACGTTGTTCCCCCGTCCGTTAACTCGGGTCAACTTCGATCAAACACGCGGAAATACGGAAAAATCCGATATCCGTTGCGACATTCAAGCGCGCCGCTGCGAACGCTATTACCTCAATGAACGTATGCTCTAAGTTTAGAGAGGAACTCGACATTACGCGCGCACGCCTTCGTCACGGTCGGGGCGAGAGGCGACCTCCGATATTAGATCACGCCTTAATTAGAAAAATGGCGCGAGCCATGAGCGCACGGAAATAGTCACGCATTTTCTCGCTGAGCATGCGAGCGAAGAAAGAGCGAGCGAAGAGAGAAGAGAGAAGAGAGGAAGGAGAGAGAGAGAGAGAGAGAGAGAGAGAGAGAGAGAGAGAGAGAGAGAGAGAGAAGCTTTCCTTTGTACATCTCGTTTTTCCCCGCGAGCTTTTCCATCTTTTAGCGGCGGAATACGCAACGTTGTAAGAGGCCAACAGACGGCCACAGTGGTAGAGACCTAAAATATCTCAGCCGTAGAGCGCACGGGTAAAACAACACTTCGCATAAAATAAAGAACCGAGTACAAAGGGGCGATTCAACTTTCCTCGGCGGAACGAGAGGATGAAGCACCGGAAGCGGATAATTTATAAAACATCCACACATCTCGCACTTGTTTCTGCTGCTTCCGATGAATTCGGAACTGATTCGTTCGCGAGATGACCGCGTGTGACCGCGTAGTTTTCCGTGATTCCGTTGTCCTCAAGCTGAAACCTCTGCGGTGCAAATCCAAGGTAACTTTTCACGCCGTAAGTATATCGAGGTAAGCTTCTCAAATTCAACCCGCCCGCGAACGGGTCACCACCTCTCCGAGGGAGAGAACTGCGACACTCCGCGCTCACCGAAATGCATCGCAGGTCCCGATGGTTATCGAACGTTACGTAACTCGAAGCTCGGACCGTTTTACACGATTCGTGTGCCGAGCGTAAAAGATATTACATCGAGCAACTCTCTCTTTCTCTCTCCCTCTCTCGGTCGAGCAAGTTGAGCGAGCACCGCAGAAGCGATGTCCCTGATATCAGCGGCGTGCCGGCGCACTTTCGCCGAAAACAACGACGACCACCGCGGTAAAACGAATCCGCTACCCTCGCGCGCACGGAAATTAGAAAACACCGGCGCGCCGCACAACGAAATCTATTTCTCGTTCTTCTCTCGCGTGCTTTCTTCACAGGGCTCCACCATGCCGACGACCCTCTTCCTTTCTGCGCGAGTGCCTCCGAGATGGTCGAGGGTTGCGCCTTTTGTTCGCACCCCCGGAAACGCTCTCTCGGGCCTGCCCTTTCTTTCCCGACGTCTCCCACCCCTTTGGTCTTCTTCTCACTCACTCGCTCGGTCTCTCTCTCTCTCTCTCTCTCTCTCTCTCTCGCTCGGTCGCTGTCTCACCCTCCTACTTGTCGTTTTTCACCTTCCGACCACCGACGAGCTAAATATTTAGCTCAAAGGCGAAAAACTGGAGACGTTTCGAGCGAGGAGAGAGGATGAGAGTAGCCGCTGCTGCCGCCGCCGTTGCATCGACGGTGGAGGAAAAGGATTGTCGATCGAAGAACGATCGACGAGAAGGGGATGCGCGATCGCCGGACTGAAAGCGGAGCGGAAATGGCACAAGTTCAGCAACAGGCATTGTGGCGGCTAATCGAATTTTTCAAAACCGACGCTGTTACCGCCGGCCTAATTGGACGCGGCGCCGCCATTTTTGCTGCTGGCTGACCCTGCAGCACCCTCACCTGCACCTACCTACCGCGGTGTCCTATTCTATCTACCTCTATTTCTCCATCTCTACCTCTATCTCTCTTCCGTTCTCACTTCTCACTCTCCGCCCCCCACGATCCCGTGGCTTTCTCTCGCTCCGTCTCATTCTCGATAAACCGTCTCCCTTCCGCGCGCTTCGATCACCTTTTAATTGGATTACGGCCGCGCGTACAAACCGGAAAATACGGTCGCGCTGGGACGAAAACCGCTCTTGCGCGTGTGCAAGCGGCGAATTTAAGGGACTCCAATAACAGTAATTTGCAAATTCGTTATGGCAGAGCGACTCGACGATAACAGTGGGCGAGTCGCGCTCACACGAGCGCGCGCGAGCTTGCAACCTTTAGCGACGCGGCGGCAAACAAATGAAAACGTCGAGGAAATTAAATTTCGCCGTGAGTGATGCGTAGAAAGACACGCGTTCGGATATTAAATTCGAGTTACTCGTTTGGCGTTTCTGTCCGATGCCGCGCGAGCGAGGGGGAGGAAAGGAGGGAAGGAAGGGAGCGAGCGATGCGATCGCCTGTCGGTTTCGTTCTGTGAGATCGTCATCGCTGTCGCGGCAAAGAGTTAGAAACGAAGTCGCGAAAACGACGAGCGCGTGTTCTTTTTTCTCCATCTCCCCCTACCTCCTACACCCTCCCCCCTCCCGTCGTCCCTTCCGCCGGAACGAGACGAAAGGGACACAATAGGTGGAAAGAGCCGAGTACGAATAATGGGGAAACATTAATGGAAAAATAAAGCGCACAAAAGGGAGAATCGCGCAATTTACGATGTACTTGGCAGAGCGGCTGCAAGAAATTCCCGTCGCTCGTAGGAATATTCTCTCGTCGCGGGAAATCAAGCGATGGGCGGCTCTATTTCGACGAGAGAGACTCCGCATAAAATGCAGAAATAATTGGATCTCATTACGCGAGCCAAGGAATGAAGGATTAACGGACGTCTGTTAACTCTAGAATAGCGTATTGTGCGCGGCGGCCTGCGCTCAGAAACATGTCTCGAAACAGCGGCCGCTCTAACACCGCTAATTGGTTTTGTTCCGGCTTCGTGGCGTCATGTAACTAGCGCCATTATGGCTTTCCTATTCAGGCTTTCTTTCAGTCGGTAGTCGCGGTAGATCGCGGCTTTTCGGCGGAGAAAAATGCGAATTCACAGTCGCGTTTGTGCTCGCCTCGACGAATTCTCGCTGACTCTCGCTCCTTCGGATTTCTCCCCTCGTCTCCTTTCGTTCGCGGATGTTTGAAGGCGCATTGGAAAGTTTCGGACACGACAGCGGGAGAACGACATCGTTGTCGTCGTCGTCGTCGTCGTCGTCGTCGCGGGATCATTGATCACAAAGTTTGCGTCCAAACTCCGCGGAGGGAGGGGAGCTTTTGAAAAATTCAAATTTCTCTCTTTTTCCGAGCGCGCGCCCACGAATCACGCTTCGCCGCGGGCCGGTTATCCTCGTTTTAATCGAAAATCCTCGCAGGACCGATGCGCGCTGTCCCGCACTTTTTTCCCCTCTTGCACCTGTTGCCGACGAAATCGCTTCGGCCGCGGCTGATTGACGAGAAGAAAAAGGCGTTATTTATTTAACAGTCTCAACCGGGCGAGCAGCGAATCAATCCGGTCGTTTGCAAAGGCCGAAGCGGGGATTAGCAAGTCTCGCGTTTGCGATCGTTAATACGACATTACCGCCGCGATATGTCTGCGCGGTGAATCCCCGTGGAAACGCGCGCGCTCGGTCGCTCGGGAGAAGCGCGCTGCGATACGTGTCTTTTCGAGACTGGCGCGCGCGATGGCGAAAACTCGTGATCGTCTTCGCGACGACGAAGAAAGCTACGCGCGATTCGTGCCAGGAGTAATCTCGGAGCGACGGACGACGCGGCACCACGCGGTCGTCACCTCGCGTCCTCAACGGCCGTGAGAGAGCAGCGCTGACCGTTAAGTTTATCCGACGCAAATTTAGCATACGTATGACGGCGTTCGACGACACGCTCGGCGGCCAGAGGTCTCCTCGTCTTATTGTTCCCCGCGTAATGTATGCCGAGTATCCCATCGGTCAAGACGCGCTTATACGCTGCGCTTATAGTCTTATGCAAATTTGCACAACGACGGGGAGCCCGGACTTTGCATATCTCACGTGCAGTAGCGTGTGTCCGCGGCGGCCGCGGCGCGGGGGAGCCGCGTCGAATGTACACAGTTAAATTTCTCACACGCAAACGCGTGGGAAATTTTAATTCTGATGAATCAACGCGCCGTGCGTGAGCGGACATAAGCACGATCTCTTTTGCGCCGCGGGAGTCGCGCGCGGCTCGCGCCGACACGCTCTCTCGTCGGGCCCAAAATTAATTAAGCCTTGTTATTCAGCGAAAGATTTACGCAGATTACGCGGCTTTGAGACCGCCAGTTAAGATTATCACGGCCGCGCAGGATCAGACAGTCATTCCGCCGAATACGCTCCAAAGCGAAACGAGATGAGCACAGAGGGAAGGAGGGAGAGAAAGAGAGAGCGAGATAGAGAGAGAGAGAGAGAGAGAGAGAGAGAGAGAGAGAGAGAGAGAGCGAGAGAGAGAGAGAGGTGTACATAAAAAGGGAGACAATCGGACGTGGGAACAAAGCGGGAGGCATAATTTATCACGCGCGACGACTGCTTCCCACGGGAGGCGGGCCGGCGGAAAAAGCTGCATGTGATAACAGCAGAATTAGAGTCGCGGTGATTAAGCGGCGTCGCGTCGCGCCGCGCCGCGAGTCGAGTCGAGTTGAGCAGAGCGGAGCGGAGCGGAGCGGAGCGGAGCCGCGGAGCTCGGCACGCAAAACACGAACGTAAGAATGTGATAACAAGGAGCAGCGGAGAGGATGTGCGCTTTTGTCCGTCGCCGGAGTCGTGAAAGGGGAAGAAGAGGGAAAAAAAGGAAAGAAGAGCAAGCGAGAGTCGAGAAACGCGGGAGGGCGTCAGGTTGATTAGGTGGGTTCTCTCTCTTCCGGTCTTGAAAATGTAATAAGTATATGAAAGTACAGCATTACTCGTCGGGCACAACGGCCGCGCGCTCGACTTCTCAAGTCTCGGTAAGAAAGCGCGCGCACGCGCGTGAGAGCGATATATTTGAAGGAGGCGATGAGAACAAGAACGACGACGACGACGACGACGACGACGACGAGGACGCGAAAGGACGCGAGGAGATGTCCTCCCATTTTCATTTCTTACGACGCCGACGAGCAGCAGCGAGGTAATCTATTCGCCGAGACGCTGTAATTTTACATTGTACGCTGTAACGCTGTCCGCGTAACGCTGTTTACACACGAGAGAGGCGCGTCCTACTCGGGCGCTTACAGCGCCGGAGGGATGTTATTCACATTTGTCTATTAAGAGCGTGTCACCCCCCATTGTTTATTACCACGCGCGGCCATAACGCGCTCGCTCGCTCGTTCTCGCGCCGTGCGCTGAAGCGTGCTGGGCAATTGTTGGAAATTCGAGCGAACCTCGCGCGCGTTGTTCATCGTTAAGCCCGCGTATCGGGTCACGCATTGGAAATTAAGATTGCATTGCGATGTGGCGCGAGCTACTGGTAATCGGGATTTTCCGGCTAACAAGGGATGAAGCCAGCGGCGGCGCCCGCCCGCCGCCCTCTCGCACCGCCATTGGCCGTGTTGTCATCGTGGCCGTGAGATCGTTCGACGCGCAATCGCGATACGATCTCAATTTCCAATCCGCAATGGCGCTATTAATCATTTAAGACGCCGCAGCGCAGGCGTTACTACCACGCGGATATGACTCGTAGCTCCGGCCCCGTTGGGGACCTCACGAGTCCGGAACAATGTTAGGACGCGCGCGATCATCGTCGCTGGCTCCGTCCGATGGATCGTCAGACGTCAGCAACGCGCTCCGCGACAATGGCCGTCGATCTCGCGCGGCCTATCTGGCCGGTAATTGCGGCGCGGCTATGAATGCGATCATCCAAGTGTGCGATCGATCGTCGCGTTTCTCGGAGGAGCGCGTCCCAAGGGCTTCGCGAGAGACCAAGTCTCGCGCGCGGAAAGCTCGAAATAACGAGGCTTTGCGCGGAAGGGTGCGCGCTACAGTGGGTGGGCGTACGGCGTTACAGTCGCTCGTTAACCCGTTTGCATCTCGGCAGGACGTCGGATTGAAAAATACTGTTTTCCGTCAGGATCGACAAGTCAGGTGCAATCGGACGGATGAGAAACTCGCGCGGAGGAGAAACAAGGTCGGTTGAATGAACCTGCTAATGAACGGGGGGCCAAGCGCATTTTCCTCGGAGGAAGCTCGGAGGAAGCAGAACCGCTCATTCCCGCAACCGAAGCCGGTTATCACGAGAAGCAGGGATTCTGTTCCTCTCCGAAGCCCCAAGTACGCGCCGCATTCGTTAATCCTCAATCGAGTCTTCTCGTCCGTGCATGATCTTCATCATTCGCTCATCCGCGGCAAGAAAACGCGAGTGATCGCGAAACAAACACGAGCCGCATGTTCGCTTCCACGTGAACAGTCGAAATTATCGAAAATATCATCCCCCCCCCCATGTTCGAACACGGCCGCCGGAAACGCTCACATCTCGCTGATGATCGCGAGTGATCGAAAACGGTTTCGCGTCCTTCGGCGGCTGCTCCTGCCTCCCACGCGCGTGAAACCGAACGGACACGGCTGAAGCTCGCCATTCCCCTCGCGATTCTCTAAAACCCCCGGCGGAGGAGCTGGTTCACGGCGAAAGAGCGGCGCGGTCTCCGGGAGAGGCGAGCGTACGACGGAGGCTGGCTGCCTGTCGGCGACGATTTTATCCTATTGATTTCGCGCGAGCGAGCGCGCACGCCCTATACCGGCCCGGAGAAAAGTACGACCGAGATGAAGGACCTTGACATCAATATCGGGCACAACAGGCAACCCTCGGGGCCCCACCGGCGACGGCGACGGTGGCGGTGCGGCGGCGGCGGCGGCGGCGGCGGCGGCGGCGGCGGCGGCAGCGGCGGCGGCGGCGGCGGCGGCGGCGGCGGCGGCGGCGGCGGCCGCCGTTCCATCCCTCCGCGCACAAGCAACCCTCTTTCGCCGCTCGCGACGACCACGTGACGCGTTCGAAGGCGGCCGAGGTCGCGGGGTCGGCGCCGCTCGGCTTCGCTCGTACGCGCTCGTTCGTCGTCCCGGTCTCCCAGAAACATCTGGCCCGGACGGCCGGACGTAAGTTACCGGCGTAATATGGCGCGAGCCGTGAAATATTCCCGCTCGAAGCTCGCCTCCGACGACGTATATTTAAATAATTACTCCCTACCCCTCCCCCCTTCCACCTCGCTCACTCGCGTGTGGCGCTTTTCCACCCCATCCCACACTTGAGCCCTCTTGGTTTCTCTGCACCGCGCGCTCTGCCATATTCCCGCCCGCGCGCACCCTCCTGTCGTAATTCCTTACGTGATATTCGCCCTGCGCGATTCCTCGGCGTCGGGAACGAAGGCGGTGGCGACGGCGGCGACAGCGACAGCGACAGCGGTCGAGCCGGTGCGGTGACTTGGGGAAAAATTAAAATTCCGCTCGAGACGCGCGCACGGCGACAGTCCTTCCTCCCTCCCGACGGTGGGATATCGCCCCTTGCGATTTTCGCGAGACTCTCACCCCGCAGGATCGCGCACGCTCGCCCGAAATCGACTGCTGGTCCATTAACTCGCTGTTTATCGTACGGTGTAAAAGGGTGTCGCGAAAGAGTTAACCATCCTGCCTTTCAAGGGCAGATGTTGCGACGGCCCCAGTCGATCTCTCTCTCTCTCTCTCTCTCTCTCTCTCTCTCTCTCTCTCTCTCTCTCTCTCTCTCTCTCTCTCTCTCTCTCTCTCTTTCTTAAAGGAGACCTGACACGGGAGGTTTAATCGTGATACCGGATATTTTCGATCTGGCTTACGAGTTGAAAGCGCAGCGAGCCTGCCTTCATTTGCGATTCACTCCCGTCGACCGTGTTTCGTCAACGCGGAACGTGCGTCTAATATTGGGATTTCGGTCGAAACGCAATGCGGTGGGACTCTGTTTATTTCGCGTTGAAATTCATATTGCGAAATTTACGTAATATCGTTCCGAGGAACAAACGCGTCGTACATTGCGGCGCGCGGTTAATAATTTGAGTATCGCAAAAAAGCGCTTTCCACCGCGACTCGTTTTGGACTTTTGTAATGCTTCGTTAGCGACTCTTTGGGAATTGACCTATATATCGAGCACACATGCGCTGCTGGTTTGCATAATAGAGCGCATTGTGTGCAAAAGCTCGTTAATTGACGGTTCGGAGGGAGAGGATAAACGAATTAAGGACGAGCACATTGAAGGATTTTCGCACGCTCAGCTTCGATCTTCCTTCTCGCGCCGTCAATTTCGCGTGAGCTCCGTCTGGAGAAAAATTTCACTCGGGACTTCGCGGCGCGACGTTTAACCCTCGGCCGTTATGCAACGGCAGTTGAGATATTTAACGATCACACTCATGCTTACGAGCGAAAGAAAGATTAGCAGCGAAAATTAAAATTCCGGCCAATACTGACTCTTCACTTCCCGTCGACCAAGTGTCGAGCGTTTGCCGAAGAATCCGCTCCACGAAGACGACGCGCGATCACTCGAGTCTCGCGAAAAAGGAGAAAGCTACGACATATTTTCGTTCAGCACCACCTAGGCCCGTGTCTCGTTCTGATTTACGATCGATGTAATGAGCCTTTAGTAGCCTTTTGCTAAGCCAAAAAGTGTGATTGAACTTGATTTTCGGCTAGAAGCATTCCCCGCTGCTGCTTCGAGTCGTAATCCCTAAGCTCAAGGCGAGCTTGTTAGATTCCAGAGCTGCTGAGGCAGCGTGGAGGAAATATTTTCGCGAAAAATAAGAGAACAACACCGGGCGGCCTTGCATCGGCAAACCGAGAAACACGATTCTTCGTCACGTGCTTGCCGCGATTTCGAGAAAAGCCTTTGCGCCCCATCGGGCCGCAGCGACTAGAAGCTTCTCACCGCTCCTAGACGCGCACGCGCTCCTCTGGGAATTTTAGGGCTAACACTCGTGTCGGGCAGGAACATAACCGGATCCGGGAATATCGGCGAGAGAGGAGAAGGGGTGGCAAGAGACGCAGGGTATCCGGAGGGTAAAACTTTATAGCGCGTAAGCTTAAATCGATCAGCAAAGTGGCCGGCACGCGCGCTCAATCGCTATCGGTGCCTCGGCGCATAAATTTGATGCACGCGCAGTACACGTGTACACGCGCGCTCGCGCGCGTGCACATACGCCGAAAGTGACTGCAGCAAATCGCGATCGGGCACACCTCATTAGCCGTGCATTTAGCAAGTCGGCTAAATTCAAAACGGCAATTCGCCCGGTGCCGAGACTAATCCGCGCGGGCGGGCGCGCACGCATCGCACGCGCTCACTGCGGCGCATTTCAGCCTGATTATAATAACATTCGCGGATAACGCGCCGACGCCGAAGTCGCGCGTCGTAACGCCATTAGGAGAATCAATCTCCACGGTGCTTTGAAACCGGAAAGTTCTCCGCCGGGAATACATTATCATCGAGTCGAAAACGATTGACCTTGTTTCCAGCCGGTACCTTGGACACGCGCGCGCACGCACACACATACACACACACACACGTATACTCGGCTCGATTGGCGCGTATCGATTGTGATATGAGCTCGAAAAGCGAGCGCGAAGTCTCGTCTCTCGTTTTCGTGAGAAAAGCGTTTTGTAGCGTTTGGCCTTCCCGGCGAGGATCAATGTCGCGTTAATATTTGAATCTCAAAGATCATTAATGCGATATGTGACATTCCGACAGGTCGCGATAATACTCCGAAAGAGCGATCGAATAAAAGCTCTTGAAAAATTTAGTATTTTTTCTCAGCTGATATGCGTGTCAACTCTCGGCCATTAGCGTTATTAATGTTCGCGGAGGAGTGATTACTCTTCATAAAAATACTCCATTTTCCGCTCGCACGTCCTTCCTAAAATTCAGCTTTCACGATATTTCCCGGAAGGATGTACGCGTTTGACTACTTTCTTAAGAGAGAGAGAGAGAGAGAGAGAGAAAAAATTGAAAAATTCACGAATTAGCGATACTGCTTTGCGTATACGCGCGGTTTATCCGCGAGCCCTTGTTACGGGTGAGATACGAGCGTTCGACGAATTTGATAGATGCATGACAGGCGAATGCGCTCGTGCGACGTTAAACGAAATTTACTTGCCTGCGCCATCCGCAGGAACGGTGTTTAGTCAGGATGGTAATTCGGAGTCAGCGCACGCTGCAAAATTATAATCGATGTAATGCCATTCCGTAATGTCGAATCGCTCGCGTTCACGCGCGCACACGGCCATATTCCGCCGTCGTCATTATTCTGTGCATTTTCATATGCAAATCGCAATAGGATCTAATCACTCGTCAAAATATATGATTCTCCCCCAAGACACTCAATACCCATGATAGCAGCAATAATTCCATTAACGCATTTCTGTCTCTCTCTCTCTCTCTCTCTCTCTCTCTCTCTCTCTCTCTCTCTCTCTCTCTCTCTCTCTCTCTCTCTCTCTCTCTCTCGCCTTTCAGCCGTGTGATTCGCGCCAGCGTCTTTCCCAATTGCAAATTCACGCGTCAACGAGTGCAACGTTGATAATTATTATTCATACAACCGTCCTCTAAATCGAATACTGTAATCTCCTGAAATTTTTCGCCCGGCTGTTGTAATTTCTCGAATTTCCACATTTGCAATACAATCCCGCTCGAATGCAGCAGAGTATAATCACCGGAAATTATGCGTGT